TTGAGATCACGCGCGGTGATCGGCGTATTTCTCCTTTATTCCTTTTTATCTCCGGCCAGAGGAGGGAGGGAGGGAAGGAAGGGGGAGTGAGATTTCGGCGGTGGGAATTTTTTACGGAGGAGAGGAGAGGAGAGAGGAAAGAAATCGGAGGATCGAGAAAGTATATATTAATGGATGATAATAATAATCTTTTTTCGTAGACGCGTGGGTTTTTTGCACAATGCGGGATAAGTGAAGACGTTGCGAAGTGGTTCCTTTGTGGAAAGAAGCAGAGTATTTTTCTTTTTTTTTTTTTTTATGAAAGAGATGTAATTTTGAAGGCACGAGATTATTTGTATCGTATTTTATTGCAGAGTGAATGTACGTATGTTTCTCGAGATACGCGATTATTTATGGCTTGTGACACGTATCAAGATAAATGACAATTGGATTGGATAGTTCTTTTTTTTCTTTTTTCTTTTTATGCGATTTTTCTTGAAACGGAAGAACGATTTTAATAAGGGGGAATTTTATATTGGACGTAAGAGGAGTCGAAGCGGGAATCAAGACGTGACATTGGGAATGGAATTTTTTGATACGTTCTTATTGTCAGAGTTGAGGTTACATCATATTTAGACGAGTTTATTTGCGGTTTCGTTTGAATGGGAACTGGTATTCGATGTGATTCGATAAGATAGTGGTAGTGGTTCAACCTGTTTGCAGGTTAAGCGAGATTGAATAACGATGCCACGATAAATAGTACTTTGCTCGAAAGTGTTGAGAGTTACGGAAGATATACTTACTCTTTCGCAAGCAAGTAAAATTAAACATTGACCGAAAATCGAGAGATTATTTCGCGAATATTTCGCGAAGACGAAAAAAAGAAAAAAAAAAAGAATCGCCATTAACATTTCAAACCGTACTTCCTTCTCATTTCCATCTTAAACTTATTAAGGTCGTAATTACGAACAACGTTTGAGAAATTCCCAGGCCGAAACGCGAGGAAAGAGGCGAAATTACTGTTAATTAACCCCGATCACGATCACCGATCTTATAACCACGATTCCCTGTCCACGACATAAATCGGCCGATACGAAATCGAGAGATAATAAATCGATTCATGAAACGATTGAATAAATCGGCGAGATAACAGGCATTCATTATACTCTTCCTTCCTTTCGTTGATCGATACGTCGATACGCGTCGGTGGATTCCGAGATCGGAAAGATAGAGGTAGTAAGATATCGAGCTCGGTTTTCTCGAGACTTCTTCTTCTCCACAACGTTAAATACGAGCAAACTGGTCACGAAGAAGAATACTTCCTCCTTTGGCCGAAGGAAGAATTCCAACACGAATTTCCTCCCTCCCTCGTCGATGGAAAGGGCAAGGAAAACGAGCAAGGATCGCCCGTTGATCGTTTTCGAAACGAATAATATCATCGAGCCTCGATAAAAACACGATTTTAAAATTTACCCTCTGCTCGTTCGATCGAACGCGTGGAAAAAAATTACATAGCTATCCAAGAGCGGTCTCGACCCCATACGTAATCGACTTCTCCCCGTGAATTACGCGAGGAAAGGGTCGATCGATCCCTCGTCGTCACGTTTCGATTCCCGCTCAGCTACGACGCATCAACAAGAGTAATTCGCCGCGAGTCGAACTCATTAACAACGAGGCATTGGAACAAAGGTGCGGGGGCGAGATAAAAAGTAAGTGTAAATTCGTTGCTCGAATTACCTATCTCGTAGGATGTGGACGAGCCAGCCGATCGTTTTCCGGTAAACTTGGCAGGGCAGGATTATCACGGTCACTTCTTTCCAATTTTCCTTTCTCGTCTTATCCTTATCCAAAACTTTCCAAAGCCTTCCTCCCTTCCTTCCTTCCACCCTCTTCTTCCAACCCTCCCTTTCGACCAAGCGCGACGAGGAGAGCCTTTGATTAACCGCACCAAATCGCGTACCGAGTCGGTCGGTCGTCTATCGCCAATTATCATCCACGCGGCGTTTTCACTTCGCGGAACACAGGACGGGTTATCGAACGACCTAACCGACACTCTGTATCACACATATACTCCGCACTTTTTCGAGCAAAGGCCACGACCATCCGATCCCTTCCCTCCTCCCGTGTTTATATTTCTACGATTTTCCGCGTAAACGGTCGACAAACGCGGCTGTTCTCAACACTTCTTCTTGTGCGTCTCCACACAACGACGACTACGACGACAATAATTACGACGTCCTTCGACCTCGATCGTTTCGTTCCTCGATGCGAGAGTTTTTTTGCCGCGCGACGACGACCAGTAACCTGTTTACAGGACCCACAGGCACAACCGATAATAACTCGACTCGAAGAAAAGGCGTCTTCCAGCTGGTCCCAGATCTGTTCGAAAGGCGGATGCTCGGCGTCGTATCGCGTTGGCAGTGATGCGTTTCCGTCGCGTGGAACACGTGCGTATCCTCCTCTTTCTCCTCCTCCTTCGTTCGAACGCTATGCTTCACGATACAGGGATGCGAAGCCTGTTATTTTCGAGGATAGTAGAATTATATTGCTATTGAGTAGGAATAGTAGTGGAGGATTGAAATGGAGGCGAGATTAACGACTACCAACGTGGTCGTCGGATCGGTTGATTTCAAAGAACGCTTTGTGTATTTAGCGTCGACCATTCATCGACGATACTCGTGTATATATATATATCGAAAGAACACAATGGCAATGTGTATGCGAGATAGGATCGACGACGAAGAACGTAGATCGAGAGATTCAGTTGCAAAAGCCGTCAGGGACGAAGTATGTGTGTGTGTGTGTTGTGCCAGGTGCAAGGCTGTTAACTACTTTTTCCTCCGACCTTCGCCACGCTCTTCACCTCTGACAAAGAGGAAACGTCTTCCGAGTCTTCCAAGAAACTAGTCGATACCTGCACGCAACACAGACTCGAGGAATGCCTGTCTCGCAGCACGATTTCCAACGTACGATACGTCCTTTTTGGAAGGATGGTCGAGAGAGATGGATTCCTGGACGCGTGTCGCACGGAGCGAGGAGATCGCGAGGAACGTTGAATCGTTCTTCGTAAACCCTTTTCCGTTGCCCTTTCACTACACCGAAAACACGCACCTTTATACCCTTTCTTCTATCTCTACGTTATTCCTTTCCGCACCGTTTCTCGCCGAGCGAAGCGACCAATTCTCAACGACACACTCGCGCGCGACCACGTCCGCCAGACCACTGACACGACTCAGGATTCCACGAGTGACTGCAGCCGCACACACGGCTCGAGTCGAACGACTTCGTTGCTCGGCGCCGCGACTCGTGGAGCCGAACCATCCCGAATATGTACGAACCGTTTCTTTGCGCTGATGCTGGCCACGAGCAGCGCGCACTACGGTTCCGACTGCTCACCGTGCTGCAACTCGTCCCGTCTCCTCCCGCTTTCCATAGTCCACCACATGTTTCGAAATCGAGAAAGAGGAAGAAAAGAGTTTGGAAGGAATTGTTATGATCGTATACGATTGGTGAATCGGAAAATCGGTTGGACTAGATATGGTGGCGAGAAGGAAGAATCGTGAAGAAAGTGGTTTATTACTTTGGTGGTTGATATACGTTCCAAGTTTTCACGAAGTTGATCATCAAGTTTCACGTCTCGATGATCGTTCACCGATGATCGACCGTTTTTCTGAATTTATGCATATAATTTTGCACGCGTAATACATTTCTTCCGATTTTCCATCCACGAATCGATAGAGGTATGTCGTACTCGTAAGAGTGTTGATTAGGATTCTATGATGTGTGATGAACGTGTTAGATGAAGAATGTTCGAATTTCTTGTATCAACAAATGTATCAACATATTCTAATCTATCAGTGAATCAATATGAAAATTTACAATAATTTACTTTTCTTTTCCTTATCCAATTATACTTTCCACAACTTCAAACATCGATTATACTTAAGGCAAAGCTAAAGCCATATCGAATCCCTCCGAATTTCAATTTTAAAGGAAATCCTAGAACGAGGGATCGTTTCGTCGAGGCAATGGAAAATGTTTTCAATGGTGTTCAGGTGTGCGAGAACCGCGAAGATCGGTCATCGAACTTCGACACGGTTTAACAGGGTCTGGGTACAATTTACGTTGCGAAAGCAGTCGGAGCTCGAACTTCGAATTTACATTCGAAGTAAATTGGAATGCGGTATTCGACGCGGAATGTACAGGGCATGCTGATAGTAAAGACGACGTGTTTTCGTGGGGAGAACGGTTGCTGGTTATCGAACACCTTGGCGACGTTATTGATATGCTAACTGGCTGGAAACTGTCACATAATTTGTCTCTGTTCCGTTGGTGTTGCGGTCAACCTGGTTGTTCCGAGCTTACACCCGTATAAAGGATCAATGGTGGCGTTTGAAAGACTCTATTTACCTCTATTTCCAAGATGTGTATTAATTTGAAGAATTTCTCGTCGTAAACTTTTATCTCGAAAGTAACTTCGTTTCGAATATTTCAAGAAAAAAAGTGCAGCCGATGAATTTTTTTTTTAAGATTCTTCAGAAATATTCCTTTTCCAAAAACTGGGACTTTAAAACTTTCAGATTTATGTATTTTTTTTAATCATAGATTACTCGATGAGAAAGGTTCGAAAAGCTGTTCGAAAAGATACGTGAATATTTTTCGTCTCCAGTATAATAATGTAAAAGTTAATGACGCGATACAACGATGAAGATGGTTTAATAAAGTAGAAACGTTTTACGAAAGTGGGTCAATTTTCCAAGTATAAATTACGAAGAAACGATCGATCATCGGATTCGATTATACAATTAGTTGGACAACTTGGCTCCGTTCGCCACTTCAAACTTCCACCAACTTCTTCAAGCGAATCAAACTGTACATTCCATTTTAAGTTACGAAATTCTCTTCAAATAAGGATCCCCCCGTTGATTATTGATTTCCACCAATATCACGTATCGAGAATATTAAGAGAATGTTAAATAGTATCTATTATATACCTATTATATATAATCTCGTTCTAACGTTTTTGAAACTGAAAATACAGAAAGAAAAGAAAAAAAAATTTGTTCGACAAATTTTACAAATTTCACTTTGATCTTCAATTTCATTTTTACAACGATTGAAAGAAAATTCGAAATCCGATAAAATTTTATTCCAACCTTTGTTTCTCACGATTTATACTTGTTGAATATTTTTGAAAACTCGATTTATTCTATTCCTCACTCTCGACTTACTTTTTCACGATCACGTTCTACCTGTACCCTACGAATAACAAGACACCTTGTACAAAAAGAAAAGAATATAAAAGGATTTTATGTTACAGAAGAGTCGCCTATTCAATTTAAAAAATTAAATTAAATTCACAAAGTTATATATATTAAAATTACTCGTCACTGAATCCATTGCGTTAGATTTCAATTACGAGGGAATCCATTGTAACAAATCTCCCCCCAATAAAACCCCTCGCGTTTCGCTCGGGGTATACGGGTAAACCGGTGCAAGAAAATTCGTGAATTATATCTGGCTCACAAAGGGTCTTGGAGGAGTTCTTGGAACGTTGAATAGGCGGCTGGTCTTCGAATCTTTCATTCATATCGAGAAGGAGGGGGATGCTTTTCACGCGTCCCATCCTTTTTGTCGCCCAGGGTTGATCTTGATTTTGCATTAACGCGAATTGAAGTGGCTCGATGCTCACTACGGCGAAACTTGCGATTCAAACCTATTGAAAATACCACGTAGGTGCAATGAGATTTTCCCTGATAAATAAGCCGTCGCATCGACTTATGTAGTAATAACGATAGTAGACGAGATTTTTCAATAGGAATAAATGGATACAGATTCGTAAATACTTTCTTCTAAGTTTCTTTTCTAAAGAATTCTAGGAGAACGAGAACATATTTTTTTTATATTTCTTTAGACAATTTATAATATTTCGCTGATCGTATCTACTCTACTATTCAATCGTAACTTACGAGTTTTATTTTGCAAATAAATTATAAGTACATCCTTCTTTGTATGATTTAATTTTTGCATAGATTCTTTTCTCTTATACCTCTCTATTTATCAATTTTTTTATTCTCAAATCAAAATACATTTAAAGTATACGAGATGAGAAGGAGACTTTTTGCGAAAATTTTCGATCTTTTTTTAAAAAACACAATATCGACTCTTGTTAATTTATTAAAACTCAACGTTTATTCCCTCTTTTCTTTTTTTTTACGATAACATAAATTCGACACACGTCGATATCTTGTGCCGACCAAACACACCACCACCAATATCGCGTTGCACGAATTAAATCCGCGGTCGCGAAAGAAAGATTAATTCCGGAATGAAAACGTCTCGTTTCGTGCACGAGGATCGTAAGTTATCACGGCGACTGGTTCAGATCAGAACGGTGGAAATTACAGGCGCGCGTGATGGAAATCGGTGGCTCGTCCCCGCGAGGAAATCCATGGAGGCCCCGCTTACAGGTTTATCGGAATCTACTTACAATTAGCCGGACACGGTTTGCCAAACTTCGATCTAATAACGAGGAACACGCGAGCCCTAGTCGCGTCTAAACGCGGCAGAGATTATATCTTCATGGAACGTTGTCCGAATGTTGCGGAATATTCATGAACGGCGAGCAAAATTGAACGTGTGCGTTGCGGAACGGATCGTTGGGAATTGGGCGAATTTTTTAACAAGACCTTCAACGAATTCAATGCAAAATCTTGCAATATAGATCTCGAAAAGCAGTAATTAATTACTATAACTGTAGAAAAAACTTGATTAAACTTGAGTTTTGCGTTAATAAATTCGTCGATTCTTACGATACAATCTTTTCAAAAAGAGTTTACGATTTTAATGTGAAAAAAATGATGATATGATAAATCAAAATTTAGAATTTATGATTCTTTCGTGCAATTTGTTTTTTTTTTTTTTTTTTTCCGTTGTAAAACGAATCGATGAAA